AAAAAAAAAAACTAGAAATACCAATACTTTGGAAAATACTGAACTTGGAGTCCATTCTAGGCTGGCTCTGCCACAATCTAAGTATAAGACCTCTGAGAAGACATTTGGTATCTAGATTTCAGCTTCTTCATCTGGAAAATGAAGATCCTAAAAAAGTGACACCTTTTTCCAACTTAAAAATCAAATTTAATGATCAGACCTATATTTAGATTATAATCTAATCTACTATAATCTGTTATTTATCCCAACACCAAATGTTTTCAATTTTTTTTTTTTTTTGAGACAGTCTCACTTTATCACTCTTGCTAGAGTGCTATGGCATCACAGATCATAGCAACCTCAAATTCTTGGGCTCAAGGAATCTTCTTGCCTCAGCCTCCCAAATAGCTGGGACTACAGTCACTCTCCACAACACCAGCTAATTTTTCTATTTTTGGTAGAGACAGGGTCTCATTCTTGCTCAGGCTAGTATTGAAGTTGTGAGCTCAAGCAATCCACCTGCCTTGAGCTCCCCCAGAGTGCTAGGATTATAGATGCAAGGCACCAAACCTGCCCCCTGCCAGCACCAATTTTAAAATAGGAAATAAAAGCTATAGTTCAGAGAACATTTAGTAAAATGGCTACCAGTGCAATTTGTAGATCCCACTTAGGAAGTGACAGTTACTTAACCTCTCTGGGGGTAATATTACTTCCTGTTTTCCTTAGGAGACTATTAAGATTATATAACTTACTATATATAAAGTTCATAGTTACTATATGTAAAGTTTATAACACAATCTATGATAAACACTCAATAAGTGTTATCTGTTATTATTTACAGAGCACTTATGTGCGAAACACTGTGCTATGTGTCTTTTACTTTTTCTCATTTGGTCCTCACTACAACCCTAATGTAAGTATTATCTATTTCACAGATAAAGAAAGAAGTTAAAACATTTGGAGGTGGCTCGGCACCTGTGGCTCAAGCGGCTAAGGCGCCAGCCACATACACCTAAGGTGGCGGGTTCGAATCCCCAGCCCGGGCCC